GTAGAAGTCATGAGTCAAAATTCAAGGAGTAGAAAAAGGAGTGGCCCCATTGACCATCCCTCCTGGCGACCCAGCTGAGGCCTTTGTACTTTCTGTCCTTGTGACCTCCAAGCTCCAGGGAATCTGAAGGTCCTACATCCCAGAACAGGAACTCCCCCCACCAGTGGTAAGAGGAGTGCCGTTATATTTTTATCTACAACTATTACCTGTTGGGGTTCTTATACTAAGAGTCAGGAGAGGAAGAAGGGAGGAAACAAATTTGTAGTCATATAATAGGGGGAGCTGTCTGGTGACCTAGGACATCATGTTACCAGTGCCCTGTCCTCGGAATAGTTGAATACTTTCTGTAGCCATGACTGGAAAGGAACATGGTAAATAAAAGGCCTGGTCATCAAAACACATGAGTTCCTCAGAGCAATAAGAGTAAAAGCTAAGAATGAGGAGAATTGTAGATAATAGAACATATGGGCCATTGGATAACAGCTGCAGTCCAAAGACCATCTTCAGTGGCTCTATTCTTAGAGTTCTCCCATGGAAAGCAAACCAACCAGGGTCACAGAATTGCTGGCCACAAAGACAATGTTGTGGAGCCATTGGAAAGGTAAGGAGTGGGCTGTGGTAGCCCACGCACGTTGGGCATCCCAACTCTTGAGAGTTCTGGCCAAAGAATAGCCTTCTCCAAGATCACCCCTTCTCCCCATTGGCGGCTCACCCTCAATCCTGGCTGATGAGAACCTGGAAGCCAGAGGGGTGAGGCACCGACTCCAATGGTCTCACCTCAGTGCTGAGCTTCTCAGTGGTCCCTCAGGCTCCACCGTGTTTGAGGGGACTTCTCACAGCCTCACTTGTGACTCCACTGTGGTGAAGCTTCTCCTGACCCTTCCAGAGTGTTGTATCTAACAGCGGGTGTTTCCCTCAAGAACATTCCACATGCAGACCTCTAATGCTCAGAGATCTGATTCCTTGGAAACTCAACTCAGAATAAATGTTCCCATTAAAAGACAGGCATATTGGTGTGTCATCGTGCATAACACACACACACACACAGAGACACACACACACACATAGCAACAGCAGTTCCTATCCCACTTAGGACAAAAGACAAAGGTTCTACACTGGACCATTAGGTCCTACTTGGTCTGACACCCACCAGTCCATCTCTGTCCCTCATTTTATACACCTCCCCCCCCCTTAGCCCCCACTGTTTCTGCGGCACTGGAATGTGCCTTGGGTGTTCCAGGCAGGTGCTCTCTAACCTCAGAACCCCTGCGCGCACGCTAATCCCACCACAAAGGCTGTTCCGTGTTCTCTCCATTTACCCTCCAGCCGTTAGACAGAATGCCTTCTTCCGTCCCAGACTTTACCAGGCTGCTCCTGGCACTGCCCACTCTTCTGCCATAGCCACTGTCAACTTAAATTAAACACATGTGTCACTATTGAGTTAAAGTCCATTTTAACTCATCATTGTAATGCCAACATATGGGACAATGCCCGACTTCTGCCTGGCACTACATATCTGTTAAATATATGAACAAGGTGCTTCTGGTAGTGGTGGCGCAACCATTTAACCCCAATACTTGAGAGGCAGAAGCTGGTGGGTCTCTGTGAGTTCCAGGCCAGCCAGGATTACCCATTGAGGCTCTGACTTCAAAACAAAACAAAACAAAGACACACACACACACACAGACACACACACACACACACACACACACACACAAAGCAACAACAACAACAAAACAATAAAAATGCCAGTTTATACAAACAGATGCAAGACTGACTAGATTCTGGGGCCTCTACAAACACCAAACCCAACACACAGTTTTCGGCATTGTCTTTTGTCTTCTGTGGGCATTTTTCCTGAGTGGTGATTTCCTTTCTTGGTGGATTCCTGCCTAGCCAAGGCAACACCGCCTGACTTTGTAAGTCTCAAGGGGTTAATCTGCTCCTTCCTATTTGTGAACTAAGAGGATTTTCCTTCCTCATCTGAATCTCAGACAAGGGGTCTTCAAGAGGGTTTATTCAAATAAATTCAAAGAGAATGCAAATGCAAACACCTATGTTGAAAGGCAGGAATGCTTTTGTTTTTCCTTCTTAAAAATTTTTTTTCAGGCATTTGTGTGTATCACAGGTATACACAGAATGCAGCATGTGTGGGGCTCCTGTATTAGTCATATTCTGTGTTTGGTAGGACCAAGGAGAACCCAATGCTAGGGAGAAACGTGCCCCCATTGTTGCCTGCTTTGCTAAGTGGTAAATGAAGTCAGGCTGAATGAACAGGCCTAGAACAATACCAACAAATCCTGACAGCATGAGGCTGTATATGAGTGTGGAGGAGAGCCCCACACCCAGAGAAGAAGGTGCAGAGGTTGCAAAGGATACATGAAGCCAGACGCCACACAAGGCCAAGCCGTGGGTTCCCTGTTGCTGAATCCTCTGACTTTTCCAAGAAATGCAGACATTCATCCAGTTTTGCACAACTCATATTTGACCTTACCTTAGAAGGAAAATAAAGCAGAGGGCCGGGGAGTTGCCTCAGCTGTTAAGTTGGCTGCTCTTGCGGAGGACCAGGGTTCAGTTCCCAGCACCCACCTGGCATCTCACAGTCATCCATTCACATCCAGTTGCAGGGTGGGCATCCAGCATCCTCTTCTGACCTCCACAGGTGCGGCGTGCGCATGGTTCACATATATTCACATGCAGGCAAGTGCTCCTACGGGGTAAAATAAACGAACAAATAAGAGCAATAAACAAAATAAGAGGACGTGACTTCCAAACAAAACACAGTTTAGCCTTTGGCGTCTTGCTCTAGAACCTTCCATGGGCAGCAACCCCATAGAAGGATGCCTGGATCTCTTGTATAAAACGGGCTCTCATCTTAAATCCCATGCGCTTTCAGTCATCTCTGGGCTGCTTATAATTCCTGTTGCAGTATAAACATTGCAGAGATGGCTTTGCACTACACAGTTCATGAAAGGAAGATGAAAGAGCAGCCCACCCGTGTTTGGTTGAGACGTGATTTTTTTCCCCAAATACTTTCTGCTTGCAGGTTTGCAGGTCGTGAAACCCAAGGATGTGCACACCCAAACCAGAGCCAAGCTTAGGTGCTTTAGAGAGTTAAAATGTGCTGTGAATCAAACACAGCCTCTTCAAACTCCCTGGGAAACTGGACAGGGCCCTAGGAATGACGGTGCCTCAGTTTCTCAATCTGCCAAGCCAATCGTGTGGGGCCATCAGATGCTCGGCTCCCGAGAGTTTCCGGATGTCCCTCTGAAGCCTGCTGTGCACCCAGCCATGCTCTCATCCCCCAAGTATCTCATTTTCATTTACAATTTGAAGGAAGCGAAAGGTATTTTGCAGGGATTTTCATTTCTTCCAAGGGCTAATTGCAAAAGACAGGGGCGAGAGCGCACACCATGCTTCTCCTTCACATCTCATTACATTTATTCAGCTTTATTACTAATTCTTTGTTCATATAATTTTCACCCTGGGATCTACATATTTTGCCTAGTTACCCCAACTCAGAAAACCCACCTTAATTCCAGAGGCTTCGAACACCTCACAGGATTTTTTTAAAGCAACAGTTCCAGTGCTCGCACTGGCCTCCCAAGCAGACCGCTGTTCTAAAGAGGATGCAGGTCCCTATCTGAAGCCCAGGACATGGCCTGGAGAGTCTAGGGGCTGTTCCCCGTGATGCAAATAAGGTCCGCGTCTGTCCTCAGAAATGTATAAACACGCACAGGGAAAGAGACAGCTGCCTTTCCAAAGCCCTTGGTGGCACACACCTGTCGTCCCAGGAAGCAGGAAGCTGAGGCAGGAGGATCATGCGTTTTATATCACGCTAGGCTACATAGGGAGACCCTGTCTCAAAATATCAAACCAAATCCCCACACGAAGAGCAGGAGAAACAGGGTGTTGTGATAATACGCATGGGGGAACCTTAGCAGGTCCCATGGCCGGTGAAGGTGACTGGGGCGGAGGGACAAACACACCAGGCAGACAGAGCATAATTAAGTGAGAAGTTTTATTAAAAAGGGGGGTAAGGAAAGAGAAAAGAGGTGAAGAGACGCAGAGACAGAGGACAGAAGAGAAGAGAGAGACAGGAAAAGCCCTGCCTGCCCCAGGCGAGCAGTGGGAAGAGAGAAGAGAAAGAGCATAAGTGGGCGGGGTCTGTCTTTTAAGGGGTCCTTTGCACCTGCGTGCTGACTAGTAGTCATGGAACCCTGGGCTGACCAGAGTACTGCCTGAGTGCACTCTGCCAGGTGACAAGGGCAGGCCAGCGTAATGCCTGAGTCCTTTCTGAAATCATCAAAACCCAACCTGGATTAGGAGGCATGGGTTTCTGTGAAAATTCCCAGCTCCTGCAGAAGTCTTCCATCCCTGGAACAGCACGAAGAGCATCTCTGGTCCAGCACAGGTACGGCACCTCCCCAGGCCACTAACACTTGTTAGCAGGCAAAGCTGCATCCAAGCCGTGGAGCCTCATCTCCAATTACCTTATCCAGATTTAGGAAACAGGTTCTCCTCCCCGGGGAAGCCAAGGATGAAAAAGGACAGGAAATACGCACATTCCCCCCCCAACCCCCGTGAAGAAACACCATTCCAAAGGACAAATGCAGTAATCCCACCAATGATGCTCCAAGCCCGTGATGGCTAGCAGCCGACAAATACCCGCAGACCTCAATCCATTTTTATTGTATTCAGGCTGCAATGCTGTATTTCCTGCCTCCCCCTTAGCACCACACATACAGTGTACTTGAAAACAAAAATCTATAATATTGATCCCACAATGTCACCACAATTATTCTTTTGAAACAGCCATTGAAAACAAATTACATCTGCACTGCCTTTTCATCCGCCTGCTGTGAGTGAGCAATGCTCACTGTGGCCTCCGGCACCATGGTGTTAGCACTGTGTCACAGCCGACAGGACAGGACAGCCCAGGGAAAAGGCAGGCGGAGGGGCGGGGCGGGGGGTGGTCATGAAGAAAACCAGATCAAAGGGTCAGCCTGACTGGGCTTCCTGGAGAGGGTGTAGACTCTCAGGAGGAGGTAAGCTGAGCCAATGGGGGAAAGACTCCTGGGCTGCCTCTGAAACTGCTGCTGGTCCTCTGGAAGAGGGGGGTGGAGGTGGTGGTGGACAGTGCCCCCAACTCGGTAAAACAAAGATTTCTGGCAAGCACTCCGTGTCTGGATGTTCTGGTTTTGAATGTAAGCGGCACCGGGAATTTGCACCGGTTACTGACAAATCGCAGTCTCCTTAACAAAGCCGGGGGAAAGCCAGACGGATGTTGCCCCCAGCTGCAGCCAGCCACCCCCCCACCCACACACACCCAGGATTCTAACTAACTAACCCCCCCACCCCCGCCCTTCTAAAAAAAAAAGCCAGGCTTTTCTTTTCGGCAACAAGCTGAAGTCACAGAAACTCTTCTGGAGAGCAGAGGCTTGCTACAGATGTGGTGGCTCAGCCTCTGGTGGCCCCCAGGTCCCCTCTAACATGCTAGGCAATTGTTCCCCTCCCCAGGAAGGGCTGCCGTCAGGGGCCTGCCTGTTTGTTTCAGATTGTCCATCCTTGGAAAAATTATCTGCGTAGTCATTAGGTCCCTGCCACGGAGTAGTGGGCAAAGAGGAGAGTCTTTTGTTAAGGTTTGCCCACACAAGTCAGTGGCCACTGTAGCAGTCAGGACGTGATAACTTCGGGCTGCGGGGGCGGGGGGAGGCGGGGGGGGAGGCGGGGGGGCATGGGGGGGGAGCCAATAGCCTTGTTGACATGGACATGGGAACCTAACCCCCCGAAGCCTCCTGGTATGACGCATTGATTTTCCTGTCCATGTACAGTTCTAAAGTCATCCATTCTGCGTGGTCAAGACTCCAAGGGCCAGCGAGAGAAGGAAGTAAAACAAAAAAATCTGTTCTTGCTTCATACCTCCAGGCAAAGTTGAGAAATAAATTCCATGTTTTGAGAGATGATTTGTTCAAGCTCTGTTTAAGAGAATATGATTGCCTTAAACAAAGAGAGAGAGAGAGAGAGAAAGAGAGAGAGAGAGATGTTTTGTTACCCTGACTCCCCTTTAACCTGCAGTCACTCATCTTCATGCCAAAATGTTGACACCGCAGGCGTGGCTTCTACAGAGGGTGCAGGGCGCCAAGGGACGGGGGATGGGGCAGGGACAGCTTTGCCAAGAGAGAAGTTGGATTTATTTATAATATCATCAAGCTGCCTGATAATTCCTCAAATAATCCTATTCCGACCACCGGGGGTCATTTCCTGAGTCCTGTGTGAATTTGACGTATAGGCACACCTGCCCCCCTGAAGGCTTGCAATAGCCCCTCTTGCCTTGAAAAGTCCCTTGTCCACAGCTAAGCCAGGCTAAGTTGACCCTCCCTTCAGGTCTGCCTATGAGGCATCCCGAACCCGTCCTCTCCGTGTGCTGAGGCTGTCAGACAAGGCTGGATCCCCAGAGAGACTTCTAGTATCACCTGGCCTTCTCCAGGGCAACCCCCCAGGGCGTCCACCGCATTCATACCATCTGTCTCTCCCCAACCCAAACCCCTGCCTGTTGTTGTCTGTGACAAGCAGGGAAGTTGGGTGAAGGAAGAGAGAATCCAGGCTTTGGGGAAATGTGCTGAGACACCACCTGGGGATCCCGAGAGCAGCCGGTTTTACATGCTCAGGACTTTCTGGAGCGGTTATGGCTATTTTAGTCACAAATAAAGAAAGCCCTGTTGCCGGTCGGGAAGCAGTGCTCACAAAGGTGGAAGGCTAGCATTTGAGCTGCAGGTTAGCAGCGACGTTCTTGGAGGTATTACATACATCATTTCCTGGTGCAGAGGGACACGGAGCTATTTCGGGGGAGGCTCGAAAAGACAGATCAAAAAAAAAATCATGAAAATTCCCTGACCTAGACAGAACTAAGGACTGAATGCAAAACCAGGAAACACTAAGATGAATGCTCTCACAAGATCTGGGTACACGCCTAACATAGGCTTATCCCAAGTGTATACAGTGTAACAAGATGCCAGCCAGCCAGCAAGCCCTCTAGTTAATGTCCTAAAACCCAGTCACACAAAACACGCCCGCCAGATAACTGCGCCTCGCTCCTCTTATAGAAGAGTATTCTTAAATTAGGTTGGTGTGAATGTGTTTGTATATTTATTATTAAAATACTTACTGTTCTGCCTTTTGAAGTCGATGGACAAATGATTTAGGAGTGGAAATAGACGAGAAACAAAATTAATGCAAATAATGTGTTGATTTTTTTTTTTAGCTTGATTAGCCAAGCCAATGGAAAATTCTAGAAAACGTATACAATTATTTTAACTGTCACAGGCTGGCAATTGTAATTGACATGATTTGTACGAGATGCAGTGTAATAACTGAATATATTAAAAAAAATCTCATGCCTTGATTACCAGGAGAACATTACGAGCGCCACGATATTATTAACAGCACAATTATTGTGGCATCCTTAGGATACGCTCTTAGCACTTCAATGCATTAGTGAACCTTTGCTAACGAAGAAAAAATTAAAGTACAGCAAATTTCAAAGCACCAGTTGTACCCAATATCATTAAAAATTTATAAAACTTCCTCTGAACATGACAAGTGTTTGGTTTAAATGAAGATCAGCCACAAGGAGAAAGCAGAAACTCTGATACTCTTTGTCTCTGTCCTTACCCTCCCTCTCTCCCTCTCCTTCTCCCAGACCTCCCCCAGCCGGCACCACCTCAATCCAGCTGAAATATGTAACCATTACAGAGTGACAGCTTGACACACAATGACCCGTCAGAACATTCATCTCGCAATGTTTTATTTTAGTGAGGAGCCAAACTGCAGAAAAAATAAGCAAGTTGTTTCAAGGCTTGGAAGGAGATCAAACATTTCTGGCATGCCCACTTACCAGACCTTTGATTTACAATGGACGTGTCAGAGCCCGATTAGACAGTGTGTGCTCAAAACCCTACAGAGGCTCCTCAATTGCCCCAGCACACCACCATTTCCCCCACGGAGAGCGCCCCTTTGTTCCCAGGTCCTACAAACACCGGGAGAGCACAGAAATGTGCACCCTTGCAGGAGAGCCAGGGAATACATAAAAATCCAAACTAGTTAAGCAGCTGCAATTAAATCTCTTTTGCCAAAGAAGTGGACGGAGGGGAGCGTAGAGGAGAGAGAGGGGGCCCACGCTACATTGGTTCTAGTACAGGTTTCTCTTTTTACCTCTTCCTTCCAAATCAAAAGTTACCATCTTTCCCAGAAAAAAAAAAACCATACCCCGTGATTGCTAGCACTGGTGTTTTGAGCTTTCTCAACTTTTATTCAAATGGAAACAGCTTTATAAAAAAAAATTGAACCAAAAGTGCAGGTGTTTAAAATATGTTCACGGTATTACAATTTTTGCTAGTAATTACAACTAGGAAATAGCTGGAAATATATTGTTTCAATTTGTATGGAGAACAATTGCCGAGCGTGCGCACTTGGTATGATCTGTGCCTGGCATCAGAATGTGTAATTCCTTAACCCTATAAGGAGGCCCAGGGCTCACTGGGGCAAATTATGAATCCATGTGTTTGGAAGGAAGGAGTAGTAAATTCAGTTTCTTGGGTATCCGTTACAATGCAATCCGACATGTGTGATTTATGGAATATTAAGTTAATACAGTATTATGAAATTAGCTTAATGCACTAAAGCTGTAATTTTAAAGTGAAAAACAATGCAGCCAGACGTAAACAATATCAACATTAGCATTTCGTGAAAGCTGAAACCAATTCACTCAAAATGTGTCTGGAGAGTCACAGATTTACCTCTCCTGCCAGGCCAAAGGCTCAGCAGGCTTTCAGAACTCAGGACCAGTCTCCAGAGGCCAGGCTGCTCTCCCTCTAGCCTAAGGTAGCTTGGCCAGCTATGGACACCAACCAAGGAATCCGTCCCTCAGGGAAGCTGCCAGGAATTGTTCAGAGCTGGTCAGCATGGAGAGATGATGACTGTGCAGGCTGAGGAGGAAGGGCCTCCTGCCCCTACACGGGAGCTCGTGCACACACACACACACACACACACACACACACACATACACACATACACACATATACACACATACACATACACACACATATACACACATACACGCACACACATACACATACACACATAAACACATACACACACATACATACACACATACACACATGCACACAACATACACACATACACATACATACACATACATACACATACACATACACACGCATACACACACATACACACGCATACATACACATACACACGCATACATACATATACACACATACACATATACACATATACACACATACACATACACACACATACACATACATACACATACACACATACACACACATATACACACATACACACACATACACACATACATGCACACACATACACACACATACACACACATACACACATACATACACATACACACATACACATACACACATATACACGCATATACATACACACGCACATACACACACATATACACACATACAGGCACACACATACACATATACGTACACACATACACATACACACATAAACACATACACACACATACATACACACATACATACACACATACACATACACACATACACACACATACACATACACATACCCCCCCACATACACATATACATATACACACAAATACACACACACACACAAATACACATACACACATGCACACACATGTACATACACACACATACACATATACATACACACACACAAACACACACACAACACACACGGGAGGGAGAGAGAGAGAGATGCCTAAGCAGAGCTCAGCTGGGACACCAGACACAACTCAGGATTCCTGAAGTTCCATCCCGGAATGGATGGGACTCTGAGGTCAAGCAAATCTTGTGGATTCCAGATGAGAACAAATCTAGCCAAGTTGTCCTGGGATCTTCAGAGAGAAAACTTAACCAAAGGCGCCCAGAGACTTGTGACAAAGCACCAAAATGGCAGATTCTGTGAGCATCAGTCACGCGTGCCCAGCATGGCCTTCTGCAGGCTCGTGGGAGGGGCAAATGGCAGCACAGAGGGCTGTCAGCCAGGGCCGGGTGCTGCAGGAGGGTGTTAGACACCGGGTCCCTCTGTCTTGCTAGCGAGGGGGGGGGGGTCCTTTGGGACTGAGGAATAGCGAGTTCAAACAAAATCTAGTGTCTCTGACGCCACGTCCTGGGGCAAAGGGGAGAGGGGACATGCTGCTTTCACCCGCAGTAGCCAGTAAATGCGAGTGCAGACTTTTGGGGTGCTCCTTTCTCTTGGTGACCACCGAGGCCCGGCCAGTGGCAAACAAGTTTCCTCAGACCCTGAAGGAATGATTCTCGGGCCTTTCCACCTGTGTGACTTTGGGCATAAAGCGCCCCGAGTGTCACACTTCACTCTGATTCCCCAGTTCGAGACTCCACGCGGACACTGGGGAGACCAGACAGATAACCAGACGAGTGGAACCCTGGAGTATCTGTAAGGACCCGACCCACTCACACTCTGGGAGTCCGACCCTTAAGTGCTGGCAGATGTCCCCGCAGATGACAGACCCTGAACCCCACACTGCCCTAAGCGGCACTGTGAGTGCCCAGCCCAGCTTAGCCGCGTCCAGTCAACATTCGCCTTTGTGTGGTTTCCTCTTTTTTAGGATTCCCTGTCTGTGGCTTAAAATGTGGGGGTCGGGGTGATTCCATTTATCTCGTGTGCTGCAGTGTCTTCCCAATACCACACTAAAACAGAAGCAGCATCCTATTTAAAACGAATGAAAAGTGCATGTCAAAGTTAGAGACAGAACAGTTGCGGAGCAGGGCAGGGCGGGGGAAGGGGGAGGGTGGGGAGTATCTATCCATAAGGCCTGCAGAGAGGCCCAGGTACCTCCTCCTCCACCGGGCCAGCTGTCTGCTGCTGGCTTGCTGGCTTCTATTCCT